AATATTTCGTTTCCGATTTCGCAGTGTAATTTTTCACACCTAATTTTACCAGCATCCGTTAGCATCGTGTGTAACCGACGTGGTTCGCGAAGGTTTTCATGCACTTTTCACACGTTTCCTGTGGTTTTGCAACGTGACAAACGTTTTCGTTCAGAACGGATGCTACGAACGTGTGTAGCGCGTTGTAGACCGATCAGTAGTTTTTTTTTTTTTTCGAATACCTCGTTACTACGAGTTGGTCGTTTCGACAGCACGCCTAGCGAGGAACTACAGTTTTCTAAATGATCCGTTTTTCCCATCAGTATACAGCGTGGTCTTAAGACGCACGCCGACATCGTTACCATCGTTGCGAAACGGCTCGAAGGAGCTGTTACTTGATTCGGGATCGTTGGATAAGTACGATTGTTGTTGTCCAATGAAATCTCCATTAAATCGATAATATCATAGATCTCCGTAAGCCGCATTATACTGGTCATTGTACAAAACGTTTAAATATTGTCCGCTCGAAGCAAAAATGATTTTTGCGCGTGCCTTTTAAACCAATACTCGTACGGCTCCGCGAGTCCGTTCTAGGGCTTATATGAAAATAAAACTAGGGTTCGTACGCACATCGTGGTCCGTTCGTTTCAATGTGTATAATGTGTAGAAACTGAACGTTGTTGGATCTGTGCGTACGTGTAAGAGTTAAACGTGCGTTACTTTAATAGTTGGTCGGTGCGGAGAACTAGATGAAAAATTTGTCGAGACGATGTTGTTATTGAAACACAACACGCGGATAACAAAAACGTGTCTTTTGCCACGAAAAACACTTTCTACGCGTCCGTCTGTCCCTATGTCTGTCTGTCTGCGTGCGTCGGGACCGGTACCACCACTCCTTTCCGCAAAGCCAGGGCATGTCAGAGGGACGCGTACAGCCAGATGTGTTCGTCAAAGGGCTCACCACACGTGGGCGGAATACACACGCGAACACGCGATACCTACACAGACCGTCGCGCGTGCATTACAATATATTAAATCCAGAGGACGCGAAACTCGAAGCCTTTCCATCAAACGGACAGCAACGGGTTGTTAACGAGTTCTACTAAATAATAATAATAACAATGTACATATATATACATATACCGAGAAACTTCAACCGAACACGTTCCGCATAAAACGCTTAAACATGTTGACTGACGACGCATAAATATTATTATAGACGTGTACATTTCACAGTTATACTTCCAGCAAAGTGTTTTTAATTACTTTTGAAACACCGAACAAACCTTTGGGTAATCCTCACTGTTAATGACGTTTGCGAGTATTGTTAAACCTGCTTACTACACACTTTTAAATGCAGCCGAATTCAACTTTCTTCGACATTATTTTATCAACACGTTTTCGCGTAATGGATTTTTTTTTCCAATTCGATTAACGCTTGCGGTTTATGGTTTTTTTGTGACCAGCTTCACTCCCTTGCGCGACAATCAACTTACAAAAAGTATCAGTTTTCGAGGTACATTACGTTCCTGGACGTGTGCGACACGAATCAGCGCAAAAACGGCGACGGCACAGACGCGCACGCGTGCGAACCTCGCGGTCCGTGTGAATCCTTATCCCGCGAGCGGACCTCTGCCGCTGCTCCATCGTCGCGGACGTCCGCGGTGACTTTTACGACGCGATTCCGTACATGATTTATACGGAAAGTGAGTGCGTTATTTTATTATTATTATTGTATAGTTGTCGATTTGGTTAAAAAGGCCGAAATGAAAAAAAAAAAAAGAAACATATATATAAAACGAAATAAAACAGGGAGACGGTCCATTGTATACGCGCGACCGATGGTGCGCGGAGACGCGAAGGGTGTCAATTCGATAGCGATCGCCGGCGGTCTTTGTACGCCGATTTATTGGATCGCCTCTTGTTCGAGGGCCACGCTAGTGCTCGTTTCGCGGACGGACACAAACACAATACCGCAAATAGGTTCGAACCGTCCAAAAATCATACTTCTGCACGTGTGTGTGCGTGACAATACGCGCGCGTGTAAATAAAAGTCACCGCGCGACAGACGGAAACGCCTTTTTTATTTTTACGAGACTTAACTCGGTTTTCATCAAAACGAGCGCGTCGACCACCCCTACGGACACATCGCCACGTGCATTATGTTATTTATAATATCATATTGTGTAAGAACATTAGGAAACGCGTATAGTTATTATTAACGTTCGCTGGAACACTGTACCGAGCCGTGCGGACGTAAAAACGAAACAATAGGATTTGTCCTGCGCGTTTTTTCACCATCCTTGCGGCGTATCATCGATACACCTTTTACCGCGGTTTTGGATTCCGAGCAATGCTTTTATCGTTTACAACAATGGTAGCGAACGAAAATATTGAATCGTATACGAATGGAAATCCATTCATGGGAGGGGGGGGCGAGATCATTTTTGCCTTATTTCGAACATCTTGTTGAAATACAGTTTAAAATTGGAAATGCGAAAATCCAAGCGATTTGATACAATTTCGAATATCGTTTGTACGGAACCATTTCATCGGCGCCAAACCCAGTCATCTGTCAGTTCCTAGTTCAAAACACGTTAAAGAGTTTTAACGCATTCTTAATTTAAAAAGACTCTTTACCACCGCACGTGATGTATTCGAATTACGATCGAACAAAATGCGCGGTATTGCGTATGGAAAAAATAGACTGTTTACGCGGACCACTGTCCGCAATCGGTTTTTGAAATCTAAGCGATGATCATAACTGTCGCATTTGTTTTCGTATTCGGTTTTTTTTTTTTTTGCTCACGCAAAATTTTACAACCGACAATAATGTACTTGTTCGCCGCTGCGGCCCCGACCGCAGTTCATCACTCCAAGTCTTACGCATATAAATTGTATTACAACAATACACGTACTCAGACACATATACGAGTGTGTACTACCGCGATACACGTCGTCGTCGTCGGAACACGATACACCATAAACTATATATGCATCGTGGATGCATAGACATCATGATATATAGTTGCTGCCGCGCGGCGATGATGATGATGATGATGATAATGAACCGATGATACCCGGTGTGTCTCCTTTGTGTCTGGCGTGCACGGAACGCTTTTTACCGGGGGTCACGTTCGAGCAGCGCGCGCGAGAGATCTGTCGACGACCACGTGGGTGCGCTTATAAGGACCAAGACACACGTGCAACCGGTGGATAATAATAATAATAATAATAATAATGGATAAAACAATATCGTCCGACCAGCCACGTACCACTCGTGCGTGCGCGCGTGTGTGAACAACAATAATGACGGCGATAATACGCCCTCGGGTAGGGAAAGGACGAGGAGCCAGTGCGGTAATTCGATATCCGATTTTTATTAAGATGTATAATATGTAGACTGAAACGCGACGAGCTCTTGAGATCGAACCGGAGCCCAGATAAACATCATCGGCCGGGGGTCGTGCTCGACGAAAAACAAAACGAAATCACGCTCCGGTGACGGAGCACACAAAAATGCAAACGACAATACGTGTGTATTGTATAATGTTACGCTCGTAGTAAACGTGTAGGCGAATACACGATCGTATTCGATTTGGTCGGAGAGAAAATACGCCCAACCTGTATAGGTAAGGACGTTTCCGTGCGCGCGCGCGTATTGCCTCGCGCCGTTTCCATCGCACAATCGTAATAACCGTACGGTGGACGGGGTTAGATTCGTAATAACATAACATTAAATCATTACGTCACAACGACCGACGTGTGGATCCATTGGTTTTCGATTATTAGTGTTGGTATAGCGTGCACAGTGACGTGACGACGTGTTATTAGTTTTATCAACACCTTTTTATCCTTTATTTTTTCCTTGCCGATCCGGTCGACGCGATACAACACAGTGCGTTGTAGATTACTATTACGTCGTACGCGCACGTACAGGCGCGCGGGGTCGTACGCAGAGGCGAGAAGTGATTTTTTATCGTGTACCTGCGTCGAGTACGTGATTTCAAATGTTCCGAATACCGTGGATATCTCGCATCGTCGACACCGCCTGGCCAATTTCGATGATCCGGAGTTTTTCTCGGCTGTACAACGAAGAAGCGATCGTCGGACCCACTCGAGGTTCGGCGGGTCGACGTTAGGGAGTTGTTTTCAAAGTGAAAACATCGACGAGCACACTGCACAAACAAGACGGGATTATAAAAACATTTAACGTTTTTCACTCGTCCCGTATTAAGGTCCAAAACGAGTGCGATAACTAATCATGGTTTAGTAGCTTGTGATTACATTTTAATTGATTGAGTTGGTAATAATGTGTGTTGTACGTTGAAAGTAAATGTTTAGATTTCAAATAAATCGCTTTTTGTTGTATTTGTTGAGAAAATTGATGTTCATGTTATCACAAAAAAAAAAAAAAAAATGTGTAGAATTAAAGAAAATGATAAAAAAATGTATTTCCTTCGTAAGCTCGAATAAACTATCCCACCACTATCCCCCGATATAATTCAAGTTTTTACTAAAAGTTCGCGACTTCAAACTAATCAGGAATCACTGCAAGCATTCTTAAAACCAGGATTGCGGTGAGAAAATCGACGCAGGCCTGATAGTAATAACAACACGAGCTATATATATTCACGTTGTAACCATGAAACCGAATCTCGGAAACTGTTTTTTTTAACGGTTTTTATTGATCGAATGAATGTAATGTAAATATTTATTCGTTTTTAATTGGACTGAAACTGTTATGGATCTATCGACGTCTAGTATGATTTTATTATATTATTTAAGCAATAAACTCTTTTCACACGTATTCCTCACAAAAATCATGCGCATCAACATCATACGCCGTCGGCGTATTTTGTTTCAATCGATATTTCAAAGGACCCAGACTCGGGGGTAACGTAAATAAAAACTATGTTATTTTTAATTTTTAACCAAACACGTTTTCTTTTTTGTTAATTAAAATACAATAAAAATATACAATATATTCTTATTATGACACATGTCATAACACTTAAAAAAAAGAAAACAAAAATTATGAAAAAACCTTAAATATTATAGCAAACACAATAATTGTAGACAGAAACAAGTTGTATAAAAAAAAATTATAACAGATATACATGTAAACATTATAAACACTTTCCTCGATAAACCTGCGACGCGCACAAACGCCATTATGTATTGTGATGTAGCAGCGTATTACCGATGGAGTGAAAAAAGTCTTCACGCTACGCCACCGTAGTCATCATAGTAAGTCAGAATCAGAAGTATCCGTCCTTTGAGAAGTAACCTCCACCACCGGCATCGGCGTGCCCGTATTTTTCGCCTTCCTTGACGCCTCCCTTCTTGGAGAACTCAGACTGCTGACCGTGGTGAGCCTGTTCACCGGCCTCGGACTTGTGGCCCTTGGCTTGTTCGTACTTCTTACCGTGATCGCTTTCGGCCTTCTTCGACCCGTGGCTCTCGTGGTATCCCGTGTCCGAGTGTCCCTTCTTCTCGCTTCCTCCCTTCTCCTTGGCGTGTTTCTCCGACTCGTGTTTGTGTTCCTCGTGTTCGCCGCCGTCATGTGACTCATCGTAGAACACCTCGTCCTTCTTGTACTCGTCCTTGTGATGGACTTTGTGGAATCCGGACGTCTTTTTGCCCTTCTTGTGACCGCCTTTTTTGATCACCGAAATGCCTTTCTCGCCATGATTGCCTTGGTACGCTTCGCCATGATGCTGCGCCTGATCCACATGTCCTTTTTTCTCGCCCGCTTTTTCTTCTACCTTCGACTGTTTTTCTTCTGCACCGTAATCTTCCTTCTCACCTTTATCGTAGGCCTCTTCCTTCTTGAATGCCTTTTCCGCTTTCTCTCCTTCTTCCGATTTGTGACCTTCCAAGAACTTCTGGCCCTGTTCCTTTTCAAAATGCTTTTCCTTGTCGAACTCGCCACCACCACCATAACCGGCTGATCCGATATACCGACTGCCCTCTTTGTTCAAGTCACCGGAGATTTTGCTCTCTGCCGGTTTTTCTTCTACGATTTCTTTGATATTTTTCGGCAGCGGTTTAGTAGGTTCTTTGGCGTTTTTCGGCGCCGCTTTCGATTCTTCGAACGTTTCCTCGTCTTTGCTCTCCTTCTTCGGCTTTTTGTGCTTGTACTTCCTCCGGTTGGACGGCGTCAGGTCCGCCCTCCGGCCGTTCGGCACTCCCAGAACGCTGTCCAAGTCTTCGTCGTCGTCGACCCCAATGCTCTCTCTGGAAGATTTTGCCGGCCGCCGTTCCTCCGGGAATCTGAACGGTCTCTGTTCGGGCCCTTCGTCTCGGGCCCGCGATGCGGACGGATGCTTGTTGTACGATCGGTACTCCGAGCGTTCCGGTTCCGAGTCGCGGTGCGCTTTCCTGGTATTGGACGCCTTGAACGTATTGTACTCGCGTCGCGGCACCTTGGACGTCTCCACCAGGCTGTACGAACTACTCACGCCGGACGTGTCGCCCACCGGCAATATTTCCACGTTGGAGCCCAAGCCCAGGTACGAGTTCTGCAGCTGCCGCTTGTGTCGGGCCATCACCGACACGGAGGTGGCCGAGAGGAACGGCCACATGGCGGCGATCATCGCGGCACACCTCATGGTCAACAACATGGTCGCTAGGTGACGGGGGGGACGTGGTGAGAACGGACACTGCTGAGACGCGCACTGCTGCGAACGATTCGGAAGACCAACGGGGCGCACTGTCTCGCGCCGCACCGAAACTGTACACTGACGATGCGTGTCAGATTTTCTACTTATATAAATATCCCGGACGTACCCCCGACCGACGGATCGGCCACCGGTTCGAGACGAATCGCCGCGGTTGCGAAATCCTTACGGGAAAATTCCCCACGGCAAACCATCCGTGTGCGCGCGCGCGCGCGGCAAGGACGAACACGTTCACGGGTTTTCCTCCGCCCAGCCGTTTCCATGGTCGTCGCGCGTGTGAGGTTACGCGGTGCGCTCGCGGAGTGTTATGCCAATAACAACGATAATGGTTGACGGTTATGACAATGGCAAAACGGTTTAACTTCTGTCGGGCGCGAAAGCGACGTCGCCAAGGGTACGCGCGTATCCGCCGGTGCATTGCGCGCGAGCCTTGGACCATCCGACGAACCGTACGAGTACCAGCTACGCGTGTAACTCGGTTACGGGTCGATGTGGGTTTGTTTGGTTTTTTTTCTTCGCCACCAAGACGGTCGGCTACGTGAACATTTCAACGGTTAAACGTTCGCTGAACAGTACAACCGTATAGCAGCCGTACGTTACGGGTAGGGTAACCGCTTCGTCGGCGAACAAACGTCACGTGATCGGGCGCACCGAAACCGATCGAACCCGTCCAGGAATCGATCGGCGCTCAAAGTGACTCGCGGGAGTCGACTCGCCGACACCGTGGCTCGCGTAATAAACGCCGATCATTTCCCCGGGTGCCGCTGTACACGAAATACACGATGACCGTACGTTCATGCCGTCGTCAACGCGATAATATTAACATTTAACGTTCTAACGGGTGTTTGCACACGGTTATTGTTTTATTACGATCGCGTGCGATGAGAATTCACTCGGAGCGTCACGCACGTGCCGCGCCGAACGGGTTGTTGTAGTACGGCGCTTGTAAAATTAATATTTTCCGGTCGACGGCGTTTCTCGATTAATTACATCGAAACTGATTGTACCCGATACCGTGGTGTTCGATCGGTGCGCATAATAAGTGTACGTTGCGCCTACTCGTCGGCGGAAAGAACGGTACGGTGTACGTTCAAAACGTCCCATATGGTGCGCGTCCGAACGGTACGTATTTGCATAATGATAGGCCGTGCACGCGGGGCACGATGTATACGCGGTGACATACGCTTAGGAATAGGTAGCACGCGTGCACGTACATCACGGACAAATTATGCGCGTGTCGGACACCCGGTGTACGCGCGCGCGATGTGCTATGATAAATACGCGCGCGCGGGGAACAAAACGAAAATTAAGTCGAAACTTAACCCTTTCGGTGGTTAGCCTCCGTTCAATAATAATACCGCCATCGAAACCACTCGTACGGCCTGACAGCCGTAAATTGCCCGTGAAGCAATTTACCGTGGAAAATTTAATCGTCTCCGATGTGTACGGCGGATAGAGAGAGACAGTGCCCGAGTGTGTGTACGTCGTATTATACACGAGCGCGCGCGCGCTCGTGTGTGCGGGGGAGGGGCACAAAAATTAAAAAAAACAATACCGCTGAGGCACCGTTGTGTGGCGTGTGCATCGCACATGATGTTACTTTTGGCGATTAATAAATTATTATTGTGCTACGGTTATTATGATCGTTACCGGAGCATAACCCCGTTGCTGCTGACCGCTCGGCGACTTCGACGACGACGATGTGACGAGGACACATCACTTGTGAACGTCGTAAACACCGTTAATTGTCCGACGTTAATAACACGGTTTATTGTAAACGAATGCGTTCAATCGCCGTCCGAACAATATAATAATCGATTATTTCCGTGGGCACGCGTAATAATATGATATTACGGATGGATCGTTATGTGCAGTCGTGAAACGTAGTGTGCGGTTAATATTGCGTTTTGCACCACAACAGCAGCAGCAGCACAACCGTACGAACATCAGCGGTCTGCACGATCGTAGGCATAATGCTGCGTTATCAGACGAATCATAAGTAACACGTTCAATGTGCGGATCGCAAGTTGAGATTAATTGCACGAACTCCGTACGAACCCGCGACGACGTCTACTCCGGTCGATGTTACGTTCGGATACTGTTTTTTGAGCTTTGTTCGAGATTTTTGTTTTTTCCCCTACGAACATTTTTAAGCCCAATACGTGTTGCGTACGTTACGTTTCTCTTACGGATTCGATTGGGTCCGTTTGAAATCGGAAACGAAAACGAAAGGATATCGGGCGTTGTACGACACAGTATATAACGTTTTTGTTGCTCGAAACAGCTAACCGTTAAACTGTTGAGCGAAAAGTGTACGGCTTGTAGTGTGACGTAAATTATTTAATTCCGACTCCAAGGAAACGAATTGAGTAATGATAATATCATTGTCGTTTTACGCTTCCGATTTCGTGTTTGCGTGAGGTTAATGATTCTTTAGCACACATAACAAGTTTCTTCGTAACGATTAAACAGTAATAGGTTTTGTTTTATAACAAATGATTCGTCATCGAAACAACCGTGATCGGTTATAAAGCGTCGAACAAATCTTCGGTTCAATATTATGGCTAATGCGATTAACGCTTAGCAGATATGCAAAACAATAGGTTCACGGAAAATCGATGAAAATATTGTTCGAAAAGGTAATGTATGACGAACAATTATTCCGAGACGAAAACGTTTAAAGTTATTACTATACGCAGTATCGGAATGAATAACAAAAAAAAAAAATAAACTAAAATCCATACCTAATTTAAGTATTACAAGTTAGTGAATTTGATGAATTGTGATTAAAACTAATAAAAAAAATGTGCAGCTCCAAAAATTTGGCAAAATCTTAACTGATCATAGAACACTAAGATAATACACAAAAATCGCATTTACGATACGAGACGTACAGCAATGATTGCTTATTATACGTATATAATTATTAAAGTACCTGTATTGAATCTAAAATTGAACAAAACGTGTAATAATTTCCTTCTTTTTTTTTTATTTTTCTACAATAATATATTGGCAATTCACAATATTATGTAATTATAACTTGTGTTGCTGTAGTCAATAGTTAACATTGTATAAAATATTCATATACTGTATAAGATGATAAAACAATTTTACATCAATTGAAAATATTGTAAAATTTCAAACAGATCTTTCACCCAATTATAAATAAATTATAAACATGTTTTATTTTTATAAAATTGAATTTGAGTAAATATATGAAAATGTTCGTTATTGGTTTAGTAGAACATATTTCAAAAGAAGGTTTTCCCATTAACAGCAAAAATTAATTGACACGATTACTAAAACACTGTTATTTCAATTTAAGAATAAAATATAATTGATATTTTCGATAAAGCTACCGATAGAAAGTTTTCACATGTATTATAATGTATATTAATTGAGTTTAAAACGTTTGGACTATAATCGACTTTTGCAAAAATTTAAGCACATAACCTACAGTGTAACATTATGATATCGACACCGTTGTGTCATGTACGAGGACGGAAGAATGTTGTTTTTTTCCAAGCGTAAATTTTATATTATTGCACAATAATTAATATGATGTATTCACCATCCCACTTCACCACCCTCCGACATCTGCCGCATTAATTCGAACGAAATATATACATATTATAAATCGTGCGCGTACGTATACCACACAAATACAATATATAACTATACGCATCACTCTGCGTGCTTTGGGACTCCGAGTTTAACTCCGAGGGGGTGCGTACACCACTCAAAGGTCGATCGACGGGGTCGTGCTGGAGTCCGTAAATACACATAATTGTTAGTGACGGCGTTATATTAATAACAGTACGATGTTTACAGTGTACGCGTGTGTGCGTGTGTATTTATGCGTGTGTGCGTGTGTGTACAGAAGCGACTCATGTAATTGATGTTTTGGACAGTAGACGAATCACCAGTGTGTGAGAGCGATATTGCATGCGCATAAATACAGACGCACGCGGTGAATATAATTAGCGGCCGAATATTATATCATACGCTACGTTATTATAATAAAATATGTGTACAAACTATATTTGTGTACGTCAGATGTTTTCCGGCCGGCCCGGTGGGTGAGGGTAAAGTGTTTGCGTGTCGTCCGAGAATCACCGGGAGGATCACCGCGGTCAAGGCTGACCACCGCCCGTTACCCGAGCTAGCCCCTCCGGAAGGGTTAAAAGTTGCATCCTTCCCTTTTCAAGTTTTTCTACATTATAATAAATATTAAAACGCTTTCCGGTTTGTTTGCACAGAAACACTGCCACGCCACCGCTTCCTCTGGCTGTACGCATCGTTGTAAAATTTAACATAACTATAATATAATACATTCGACGTGTATGTGACATATAAGTTATCTATAGTTAGGCGAAAACCTTTAGCACATGTCGTCGGAGCCGAGAAACGAAGGCGACGATAACAATATAATATATAGTACGAAGCAATAATAATATAGTTTAATGCGTATGTCAGCGGTAAACAATGTATCGTTCACGCGCGAGTAACGGTTGTCAAAATAATGTTATGGTTTTCAAGGAGACCATACGTTTAAACAGGAGCTATGTACCTATCCAAGATTGCTGTTCGCGAGAGAGATACTAGAGAGTGTTATGAATAATACATATTTAACGCACCGTTCAATTATCATACTAATACTATTATTTTTCTTATAATATATGTCCTTAGATCGGAGGTGGTGGCCCCGTCAGCGATGCATATGAAAACGAGCATGACACTAATTAATAGGGGAAAAAAATAAACCAGTGAAACACGCGTTAAATCGTCGAACACTTGTCCTACATGGATAAAAGTCCGTAAAAATACGCGTTAAAAATTAGGCGAAGGGCATCGGTTCGGGCCGCGTCCAGCCCGGTTAATTAAACGGATTTACTAGGACGACTAACGATAATTATACTCGAGACCGCAGCAGCCGCGGAACTTCGTGTGGAGCCTTGTACAATTTATTGTTCACAAGAAACATTTCTCTAATATTATTTTCTCTTTCGGCGTTTTAAGACCATTTAGAAGTCGTGTTAATAAAAATATATA